TGTGTTATAGTAATAACCTAGGCAAGCCTTAAAGATGTAGGTAAAACAAAGATATTGCAACTTAGTAATAATTAATTATTAATCGCTTATTTTATTCAACTTCCATCATTATTCTTGCTAACAAATTTTCATGAAGTTTTGAAACTAAGACAGATTTGCAAAGTCAACCGTCTCTCTTTCTAAAACAAGAAGGAAACTAGAAAACTCAGAAAATGATTTCACAAGTGGGTTATTTCTGCAAATCAAACAAACACTGTTGTAATTAAAAGATCTTCAAACGATTTCTTCAAATTCGAATATGAGGTTTGAAATCAAATTTCCAAGGTATATCTAAACCCTTTTTTTTTTATAAATGGTTCTTACTTTATACGAATAGCCACCTTGTTCAAAATCAAATGTTTAAAAACATAACCTCATTTTACTAGTAAAGTAAGTATTATAAACCTCCTTTTTTCTAAACATTCTTTTAACAAACATTTTTAAAGACTTTTCTCTCAAATAAAACCTACACCTTTTCAAAGCATATACATCACTTCTCTTTTAAAATTTATAGGTTTTAAAACGTAACATAAGGTAAGCCGCACATCTTTAAACACTAACTAAGTAAGATATAGACATCTAAATTCCCTGAACCTAGTCTAAGTCCTATGGAGCTACATTAGATAGATTCTAGGGGGTGCCTAACACCTTCCCCTTAGAAGAATAAGAACCCTTACCCAAATCTCACTGGTTAGCAGACTAATAGGATAATGATCTTAACCATTAAATAGGTACCCTAGTATACCTTTAAATATTAGGTGGCGACTCTCATTTATTATCAACAGGGAAACCACTTGTTGAATCTTGTTTTGACTCGTACAAAATAGGGTACAATACCTAGGAGCGTGATTTATGGCTCGATGAGTGGTTGGATGGCTATGTGATGAGTATGTTGTGACTGCGGAATGTGTTTAGATGGTTTGGATATGGCAGGAAGAGTTTGCTTGGGATGTGGAAAAGACTATTGGGTGCTTGATTTATGTCTTGATGTGTTGTACGGTCTCGAGTTATGAGCGTGTTAAGAGATCTTTCATGTTGTTCAAGTGCAGAGTGAAATAGATTCTTATCTTGTTGACGAGTTTAGACTCGTGAAGATTTAGTGAATGCATAGTGGTTGAGACTATGGTATGGCGTAAGAAGGTGCCAATTTGAGGCTAAGCAGGTGGATTATCTCCTGCGGGATGTGTTGAGGTTGTATGATCCCTATGATGTTTCTGTGAAGAGGTTTCTCTTACAGGTGAGTTATATGTGTTGAAATTTGAGTTTGGATCGGTTAAGAAAGTTGACTTGACTGTCACGAGGATGAATGCGAGCTTCGAAAATGATTTGAGGTATTTTAGGGTTGTGTTACATAAGCTAATGAAGGATTTAGTTAAATCTCAGTGTGGGATTATGGCAATAATAGAGTATGTGTATTGTGAGTTATCAAATGTTTTGTTCTATGGCTTTGGGCCAAGTGAGGGAGTCTGCTATCAACGATTTGATTGCATTGTTATATGTTGTATTGGTTTTGGTTTGAGGCATACTTGTGGATCAGTTATGACTTGCAGAAGTTGGTTTTGAGGATGACATAAGCAAGGAAGTTTCTAGATGTATGATGTATTACACCTTATGGATATATGGAAGTCTTGGAAAGGTCTAGGTTTGTTGTTCATGATGGATGTAATGTACTAAGAAAAGGAATTCACTCGGTTGCATAGAGGTGTGGATTACTTCTTTGGGTGTTGGTGTGCTAATAGAGCACAGGTCGTTTGGCTCATTTAGTGGTGCATTGAGATTTGAATAGGGTGGATGACTCTCGAGAACGTTCCGATGAGTTTAAGATTCATATGTGGAGTTTGAGGAATTTCGGGAATTTGTAAAAAAGCTAAGACCTGAGATTGCACTGGGTGGTGTTAGGATTGGCGGTATATCTGTATCATTAGAGGTTCTACATTTCAATATCAGAGAGGTTAAGGAAACAACTTTAGATTCACAAAAGGTCTTTTCAGAGTGAGTGTCTCGGTGTGGTACTTTTGGGGTGCTTAAGAGAAAATACATCGGCTTATGGGCTTTAGGGTAATGTGGTTTCATGCTGAGATCTCTTGTGGTGAGCATTGGGTTAAGGGTCGTAGTGTACTTGCAAGGAGAAGTCTTAACTTAAAGGCAATTCGGGAGGAACTCGGAGAAATAGAACAACTTGGAGGTTTATCAGATCAGCATGGTAATGGGTATAATCGGTTCTTTTGGTTTATGATGTGGTGAGTCTCTACAGGTGTTTTGTGGCAATACTCTTGGGTTTGGCGACCTGCGTGACTTGGTTGAGTTAGAGAGATTCAGTTCTGATGGCTTGGTTATGTGCATATGGGTTTCGTAGAGTTCTCGATAATTTCTACCACAATTTGAGGTGGATATTTTCTATCGGCATTAGAAGTATCTTGCGTGTTGTGATTTTCTCCTGGATGGGTTCAAGTGGAAGGTTTCTGACTGATCGAGTATGTATTCTACTTATGACTTAGAGTTGATAATGGGGTTCTCGTATTTCATATGATAGCATGATAGATGCGGTGCGTCGTGTGGGATTGAGGTTTGCATGTACTAGGTTGCGGTTCAGTTTTGAAGGAAAGGTTATAAACTTTAGACAGTATGGACAGTCTTAGATGTTTACATGAATGCTAGTACTATTTGGTATTACCTGAGAAGGGTGTGCATTTCAGAAGGCGCCTTGTGTTTTGATTTATGGATGCTTCATTGGTAGTGCGGTACTCGCCTTGTTGATCGATTATTGATGTTCGGATTTTGCTATATGGCACAAAAGAATTATGGAAGTATTTCTCGTATAATGATTATGTTTGAAGGATGTGTCAGTTATTTGAGTGGTGGTGATGGGATCAGGTCTAGTGATTCTTTTGTATTCTTGTGGTTTGGAGACTGGGAATCTCAGAGGCAGATTGTTTCTTGGTTGCAGACTGCAAAATATGGCCAAGTTAGCCAGCTGATGGTATGTGTTGCGGATAGGTTATAAACTCATTTCGAGAGGAATCGATTTGGATCCCATTGGTAGGACTAATGAAGATGTGTATTCTAAACCGGGTCGGATTTGTTTACTCAGCACAACTATTGTTGGAGGATATGGCATCGGTTAAAGTTGATCTTATTCGTGTCTATTAGGTCCCATGTATGGCTCTTTTATGCTACAATGGCTTGTGATTGGTTGGGTATTTGCACACATGGTGCGTTCTATCTCGGTCTTGTGGCAAAATTTGCGAGATGGCTCTTGGGGTGTTGAAGGGTTGATTGCACCTTGGTTAGTCTTTCCGGGTTGTGGTATATTGTGCTATTCATTTCTCCATGGTTATGGTCATGCACTTAGTGTATTTGATGTTGATTTGCGTATGGTTGTTGATTTTGAGCATTATGACTCGAGGTATTTCATGTGGACCGGTGTTTGAATTGGGTCACACATCGCGGTGAAGTTATGCTGGGATATGATCTTTTGTGTTGATTTCGTGTGCTTTGGTTCTCCTTTGGGTGATGGGCTCCTAGCATTGCGCTTGTGGTGGTATCTGTCAAGCTTGCAAGACGGTTCTCTCATTTGACTCATTTTCTATTTTTGGGTACATTTGAGTTGTTGCTTATTGGCGCGTGGATCGCACGGTTTGTGGCTCTAGGTAGTATTGGTTTGACATGTCACTAGAGTAGCCTGTATTTGATGGGACAAGGTCATTGGACCTGGAATGAGTTCTATCGGATTTGATTACGGTATAATTTGAAGGATAATATAGGAAGTCAGCTTATAATTTGGTAATGGATCTTATCAAGCGAGAGAGCTCCATGACTTGTTGATATGATGAGTGGTTATGAGTTTCTGCATGTTTCTTTCATCATCGGCAATATACTAAGGTTTTCAATGAGGTTTTAATTTGATATGAGGTTTATTACCGGTACCAGATTTATTTTTGAGCAGCTACTGTAATCGAAAATTATTGCTACGAGTATGTGATTTATGTGTTATATCATGTGATTTCATCTTGGGTTATGGTTATGGCTTAATACAGCTTGTTCGGACTTATACAGTGTATAAATGTGAGAATCAGGCCTTGTAATGGATTCCGAAGCGGATTTGATTCTAAGGTTTATGGACTAATGTTGAAGAGAAGATCTTCAGTTAGGTTGTGACTTATACGGATTGGGGTGACGCGGGATCACCCCCAGGTATGTGCAAGGTGAGTTTACACAGTGATTTGATGGCTTTGAAATGACTCTTGGCACGTTCGAGCACTACAAGAAAAGTTTCATTTACATGGGAATTATTTTAGGGATTTTAATGAAACATTCGCAGGTAAAATATATACCTGGGGATTTTCATGCAAACATAAATCCGCAGGAATAAAGGTCGTGGGTAACTATTACCTGCGAATTTTAAAGTCCCCAGGTACGTTACTTGGGGATAAATTGGCCGCAGGTGCATTAATTGGGAATGTTAAATCCCAATGTAAAATGCTTTCGGACTTTTCCGCAAGAAATACCAAAAAATCGTAAGTAAAATTTGGTAAAAAATTGTAAAAGAAAGAAATTTTCCTAGGAATTGTCATGGGCAAATATTCGCATGTAATTCTGCAGCAAAACCCCCAAGTAAATTTGCAGAAAATATTCAATAAAAATTCTGTGGGAAAGGGGAATTTCATGGGAATTTGATGTGATAATTTCGTAGGAGAATTCCTAACAAAGTCCCCATATAAATTCCCATGTACTGTATATTTGCAGGTAAATTCCCAACAAAAGATTATTTCGCTTTAGGCACTTCCCCATGAAAATCCACAAGTAACTTGTATATTTTTTAAAAGCAAATTTATCGGTATTTAGTCCCAAATTATATTTCACACAATTCAATGTACATATGATATTAATCCTATTTTTTCAAACAAACAACTCTGCACAAATCTGAAGCAATATAAAACCAAAATATGATGCATAAATTAATAAATAATAATGGATAATTCCTAAATGAAAAAAATAAAAAGTCTAAATTGTAAATCTTAAATAGTACTACCAAGTATCTCAATCCTAATCATACTCATCTACAGAGTTGTTGTTATCATCATTGTCACTCTGAATCTTGATTGTCTTCCGAAGATGAAAATGAAAAGTCTTAACTGTAAATCTTAAATAGTACTACCAAGTATCTCAATCCTAATCATACTCATCTACAGAGCCAAGACCTGCAACTCTTCCTTTTTTCTTTCTACCAACTGATAGCACTCAAATATCCATTTCACCTAATTGAGATAGCTCGCTAGCTGAATTAGTTTCTCCATCAACAGATGCACTTTAGGAAAGCTAATAATTCTTCTTTCTTTTTTTCAAACTTATTCTGCACAAAAGCATTGAAACAAATATTAGTGATTTTGCATTAAAACAAATATTAATAATTTTGACAACTGCTAGCAGTTAAGCACATCTTTCCCTGACATTTTAATTGGGCTGGAGAATACTAAAGAAAATGGAGCAAAGACTCCACACAAGTAATCAGATGTTTACCTGAATTAAACCAAAAAGGGTACTTAAGAATAGAGTCCAATATAATTAGTTTTCCGGGATTAACTAATATAGGCTGACGAGTATAAAAATATATCTACACTATCAAGTCACTTAAAAGGCAATTATATGCTTAAGTTAATGGTTCAATCAGAAGCTTTAATTTGATAAAGCTAGTAGGCCCAATTTAGAAAGATTAATATTACTCTTGCTTATTATCACTACAATAAAATAATGGCTAGTTGTCCACTTCCTTTTTTTTTATCTCCTTTTCTATCTTTTATTTTATGTTTTTCATAATGGTCTAATCTAAAGATCTGCCTAGGCCCTGATAAGGCATATTAATTACATAAAGCAAGTTTGTGCATAAGTTTGTTGGACTATTAAATTCTCTGCTCTTCTTGAAACAACCAATTATATATCAACTTAATAGAGTAATGACAGTTAAATAATTTCAATACATATATGTTGTAGAAGGAAGACTTACATAAGCACCTTCAACTTTCTCATTTATCCAACTTTTATCTTTCTCCTTTCGATGAGTGTGAAAATAAAATTCTAAAAATGAAGGATCTTTTCCAGTAGCTTCCTTCTGTAATTAAAGGAAGATATGTATGCTATCAACATTTATATGATCTATGTACTAGAAAAAATAAATTAAAAAGAAACTATATATTACCAATCTCTTCCAAATCACGCGATGAAGTATACAACCACCTGTATGAACCGAGGCACCTGCATTTGCACCGCGATTCTTTTTATTTTATTCCGACTTTAACTTAAATTGAGGAGACTCCCAATGCTCCTTCATCTCCTTGAATACTGCATCACCTATCCAATTTGGCTTCATCACAGACAAGTCCTTTCTAACATCTTGAAAAAGTTGGATCATTCTTGAAGATGCCCTTTTCTCAAAATTGTGTTGTATAGCATCATTATAATGAGGGAGCCATCTAAATTTAGTATTTTATAACACAACACATATAAACATAAAATCTGAATCGGTCCTATAAACTTACACACCAACATTTGTACATGAATCGTATTATAAACATCCTTACCTTGAATTCTTCAAACCATATATCCCGAGTAGGTTGTGGGAATTTCTTCCAAGAAGGTTTAGCCAGCTCAAATTTACTACGAATGCAACTAGCAATGCCTTCAATAACTGGCTTATGAGGATCAAACCTACATAAACCCTCAATGGTAGATAAATAATCAAAATGTTCGAAAACATACCTTCTAAATTAGTCATAGCAAGTAGGGTACTAAAGTAGGAACAACCAATATAATAACTTAAAGTAAAGGAAACTTTTACCAAGACTCAAGCTATTCAATTAACTCCAACAAAATAAAGCGAATGAATAATTCAAGTTTCTAAAGCTCAATAAAATATTAAAAAAATATAAATCCTCAAAGCAAGTCCAGCCATTATATGTCAATGGGTCTCTACAATTCACAATTTTTAAGGAGCAAATCTAGGCAGCACCTTTGCCCTGTATTGCAGCAGATTTTTGAGGTAGTAAACCACAGAACTGGACATCTTATTATAATAATTGTAGATATATCTCTTATCTTTTTATAGCCTTTTGAATCACCCCAATCCGAATTTTAGAGAACAAGTTATGCCCAAAACAGTAACTGCTGTCCAATTCAAAAACGGGATTAAATTTCTGATTTTAAATGACTAAAATTCACCATGCAAAAGATATACTAATTCACATATAGATAGAGTAAGAAACTTACTGCAAGTTTGAGAGAGTTTCTCCACAAAATCCAAAACCTAGGGTTTCCAAAATAAGCTCATTCCATCTTGATTCTTGAAGGTAAAATCCAAATCTTCCTTCAATAGGTAAGTAAATATGTTTTAATATTTTAAAACTTAAATTTTAATGATGGAAAAAGAGTTGCATGTATATGTGTTGAGCTCTTCAATGGTGTTTGATAGATGAAGGAGGAGGACAAGACTTTGAGAGATAAGGGGGGCTGCCAAACGAATCCCCCAAAGAAAAATCCTAGAAAGTTCTTTCTATCTAGAGTTAAAAGATTATGCTTTACAAATTTACACTATAACCCTATTTTACCTAGAATGGGTAAAGAATAGTCATTACTCTCTTAAAATATATATACTAGACCCATAAGATTCTTTTTTTTAATTTCTATTTGTCTTATTGGCCCTTAGAAAATCTCTACATCTCCTTAAAGGTCTGTCACTAGTATAAATTATTTTTTCATAAGTTAACTAAGCAATACATTCTAAAGTATCTAATGAACTAAATACAAATACATATTTGAATTAAATAAAAGAAAATCAATTCTATTAACAAAATAACTTTTAAATGACATGGAAACTTAAATTTAAAGAAAGGGTGAAAATATTTTAAACAACATATACATGATTAAAAAAATAGTCAATTAATGTATATAATATTTTATAAAAATGAGGGCGTTACAAAGACAAGAACTCAAATGATAAAATCATTCTCAAATAGATACATTCAAACCCCTAATGAAATAAGCCATGAACATGTTGCCACTAACAATTTGTCCGTGGAAAAATGTTGTGTTTCTAGCAGTGATTTTTAATATCAAAGAGTAATTGATTGGATGTCTTAGTGAGATTTATCGTTGTATATAGAATTGTGTTCGAAATAAATAAATAAATAAATAATTTCTCACTAAAAGAATTATTTTAATAAGATAAAACTATAATTAATAAAACAATACTTATAGTAATCTTACTGTCATCGAGGCCAAAAGCAATATATGGCAAAACATCATCACCTCAATGATAGTAAGATTACTATAAGTATTATCGTTGAGAAAACTAAGTATAAAGGTGATATATTAGTTTATATAAGTAAAATATTGCTTATATCACCTTTATATTGGTTTATAAACCAATAAACCAATATATCACTGTTATAGTCAGTTTACTCGACGATAATCATCTTGTTCTTTATATATTGCTTATATAAACTAATATATCACCTTGATAGTCAGTTTACTCGACGATAATGACTATAACAGCGAGTCCCTCTACTCCTTGATAATCATTAATTATAATATTTTTTAAATAAAACGCTCTGGAGAGGAGCGTTAGTAGACATGGAGTAGGCGAAGTGTATCGTTCGTAATACAAAGAAAGATATCATAAAAGTCAATTATTTGCTGATAATATACTTCTACAATGTATTTCACGTGACTCAATAACACATGAAATTCCCCAAATAATACCGTAAGTATATATATCCCCATGTAAATCCTCAAGAATAAGTCCCCATCTAAAATCGCAACAACTTTATTCCCATGTAATTCTGCAGGTAGTAATATCCCCAAATAAATCCCCAAGAACAAATCCTCAACTAAAATAGCATCAACTATATCCCCAAGTAATTCCACAGGTACGTATATCCCTTGGTAAATCCCCAAGAATAGATCCCCAGCAAAATTCGCAACAATAATATCCTCAAGTAATTTCCCAAGTAAATACTATCCCTATGTAAAACCCCATGTGATTATCCCTAGCAAAACTCGCAGGTAGATTACCTGGAGATATTCATGCAGATTATCAAAGGAAAAGTTTTTATTATTTTTTCGTTCTCGTTCCTGCGAATTTACCTGCGAATATGGTATATGCGTATTGAATTCCAACTAATTTCCCAAGTGTTATTTTCGCGCTAGATGGCGCTAAATATACCTGCGAAATTTCCTGGGAATTCTATTTTCGCAAATACAATAATCTTATATTTAGGAATTTTTGATTTTCCCATGAAAATCTGCATGTATTACCTGCAGAAAAAATTTCTATGTAAAATCCCCATGTAAATGACACTTTTCTTGTAATGGAGCACGAATGTATGTTTAAGTGAGGGAGAATGCAACAACCTAACCGGTTGTTATGAAATTTTCATTCCATTCAGCTATTTTAATTCTTAAGTAGCTTCCTATTATGTATTATGACTTGTGTGAATCATTGGTTTTGGTTTTTAGGTGATTCAGGATTGATTTGGAAGAATGATTCTCAACTAGGAAGCTTTAAGTTGGAAGAGTTGACCAAGTTTGACTTTTGTGTATTTGACCTCGGATCAGAAGTTTTGGTGGTTCCGTTAGATCCGGATGCTGATTTTAGACTAGGACGTATGCCCGGATTTGCATTTGGATGTCTCTGGAAGGTTTCGGTACTATTTGGCGAAAGTTGACAATTTGAAGATTTAAAAAGTTCATAAGTTTGAACGAGAGTTAACCTTGATGATATCGGGTTCAGTTTGTTATTTCAGGAGTTGTAATAGGTTCGTTATGTCATTTGAAACTTGTGTGCAAAATTTGAGTTCATTCCGACATGATTTGATATAGTTCTGCACGAGTTTTGGAAGTTGAAAGTTCGAAAGTTTATAAAGTTTGATTTGAGTTCCGAATCGTGGTTTTGATGTTGTTATGTGTGGTTTGAGGCCTCGAATAGGTTCGTGTTGTGTTTTGGAACTTGTTGGTATATTTGGACGGGGTCCCGAGGGGCTTGGTTGCGTTTCGAATCATTTGGGAACATGTTTGTTAATGCTGGTTTTGGCTGGGTTCTCATGTGACCGCACCTCGGGAAATTTAGACACAAGTGAGGAGCCGCAGGTACTGCAGGCATAGCGCATAAGCGCGATTTGGAGCTGGGGTAGGAGTCTGCAGATGTGGAGATTCCATCGCATCTGCGAAGGCGCAGGTGTGGTAGCATGGGTGCAGAAGCGGAAAGAGCGCAGATGCAGAGCATTTTCCTCGCACTTGCGACGTTCCAGAAGTGGAGTATATTCCACAAGTGCGAGAGGTCGTCTGGTTAGTTATTTCTGCAGAAGGGGAGAATTAGTCGCAAAAGCAACATCGTAAAAGCGGCTGGGATATCACAAATGCGAAGATGCCCGGGTAGAAGCTATATATCGAGGGCTTGGTCATATTTTTGCACATTTTGAGATTTGGAGCACAGTTTTGGACGATTTTGGAGAGGATTTTCACCACATGGATTGGGTTAAGTATTCTTGACTCGATTTTGATTATTTTTCATGAATCTATCTTCGATTTTGGCATTTGGATTATGAATTTTAAAGATAATTTGGTGGTTTTTGTCTAAACTTCCCTAAATAGGTACAAACCTCCATAATATTACCTTGCCAAGTTTTAGCACAAAGCACGTTACATAGATTTTTAGAGGCCAAATACCTAGATAACCCCTTAAACTTGACACAATTTTTAAATTAAATAATTGTACAGACTCTTGTACTTAACAAAAGTATGTTTCCCGGCCCGTAGCTGGTCTCACAAAGCCGGGGTCTGTACTGTGGCAGGATATTATTCTACCACTAGATCATTGATACATTTTATTTTAAGAATATCTTTTATTTGATTTATACTCTTTAATTATATTTTCGCACAAAAATAACCGACCAAAGTTGGTCGGTTTTTTTAATATTTATTTTAATTAAAAAACCGACCAAAGTTGGTCGGTTTCTTGAAACATAAATTTTGCGGGACTCAAAAATAGTTTTCCGTATTTTTGCGCCAAAGAAAACCGACCAAAGTTGGTCGGTTTTTCAAAATATTTTTTTTTAATTTTTTTTTACGAAACCGACCAACTTTGGTCGGTTTTTTGACCGACCAAAGTTGGTCGGTCGACCTTGGTCAGTTTTTACCGAATTTCTAGTAGTGAAATAGGTACAAACCTTCACAATATTACCTTGCCAAATTTTAGCACAAAGCACGTTGCATAGATTTTTAGAGGCCAAATACCTAGATAGCCCTTTAAACTTGACACAATTTTTAAATTAAAAAGCGCAATTTGGAGCTGGGGCAGTAGTTTGCAGATGTGGAGAATCCATCGCATCTGCGAAGGCGCAGGTGCGGTAGCGTGGGCGCATAAGCGGAAGGAGCGCAGATGCGGAGCATTTTCCTCGCACTTGCGAAGTTGCAGAAGTGGAGCATATTCCGCAAGTGCGAGAGATCGGCTGGTTAGTTATTTCTGCAGAAGCGGAGAATTAGTCGCAGAAGCGACACCGCAAAAGTGGCTGGGATATCACAAATATGAAGATGCCTGGGCAGAAGCTATATATCGAGGGCTTGGTCATATTTTTGCACATTTTGAGATTTGGAGCACAGTTTTGGGCGATTTTGGAGAGGATTTTCACCACATGGATTGGGTTAAGTATTCTTAAGTCGATTTTGATTATTTTTCATGAATCTAACTTCGATTTTGGCATTTGAATTATGAATTTTAAAGATAATTTGGTGGTTTTTGTCTAAACTTCCCTAAATAGGTACAAACCTCCATAATATTACCTTGCCAAGTTTTAGCACAAAGCACGTTACATAGATTTTTAGAGGCCAAATACCTAGATAACCCCTTAAACTTGACACAATTTTTAAATTAAATAATTGTACAGACTCTTGTACTTAACAAAAGTATGTTTCCCGGCCCGTAGCTGGTCTCACAAAGCCAAGTATTCAAGCGACACACTTCTGCCAAGTTGAAGTGTTTATTTGATCACTTGCAACGTTAAAATGTCTAACTTTCAAATAATGTTAAGTTTAAGGGGCTATCTAGGCATTTAGCCTAAAACTCACTAGTTCATACAGGCAGATGATGAATACATTGAAGATAGTAAAGAATAGCAATAGCAGAATAGGCTAGTTTAACAAATACTATAATATGATACATAGATGTTCTTGAAGCTAAAAAGCCATAAAGACCAGACTAAGTATGAATATGACTAATGCACAGTGAACTAAAAAGAACATGATGTAATAACAAGCAAACAATCATTAATACGTTTGTAAAACAACAACTCGTACCTAGTAAGTGAGACGAGAACTTAAGAAGAAAATAACTCACTACGAAGGTAGTGATAAGACTCCTGCTGATAACAGGTTTTGAAATTAATACAAAATAGAGCAATATAAAACTAGAAAATAAATAATAGATGTAGAGAGAAGGAGAAGGCTTTTCTTATTTCATCAAGCTTATTCAAGTATGTTCTTCCATAGGCAAAAAGTATCCTATTTATTGGATATAAAGTACATGCCAAAGGTCACATGAATTAAGTGACCATATTAAGTAGATACATGTGAAGACCGATAGGTTGTTTAAGTACCGGTCTTAATTTTTATGTTCTGAGACATCTCATAACTTCATTTGATATTTCTTGATTTGCGTGCATGATTCGTGTCGCCTTTCGGTTAACTTTTATGTCAAATTTTGAAAAAATAAAAATTTTGACTAAAAATGAGACTAGATTTAA